TGTCTGACAAGAAATGGCTGATTCTAGCACCGGAACAAGAAATGCCCAGGATCAGCTGATCCTGGCAGTGCCAGGACGTGAGGAGCTCGGCCGGGCGCGGTGGCTCACGCCTGTAATCACAGGACTTTGGGAGGCCAAGGCGGGTGGATCACGAGGTCAGGAGATCGAGACCATCCTGGTTAACATGGTGAAACCCCGTCTCTACTTAAAAAAAAAAAAAAAAGCAAAAAATTAGCCAGGCGTGGTGGCGGCGCCTGTAGTCCCAGCTACTTGGGAGGCTGAGGCAGGAAAATGGTGTGAACCCGGGAGGCGGAGCTTGCAGTGAGCCGATCGCGCCACTGCACTCCAGCCTGGGCGACTGAGCGAGACTCCGTCTCAAAAAAAAAAAAAAAAAAAGTGAGGAGCTCGGTGAACAAAACCCCACAGTCACAGGATTATGTCCCAGCGAAAGAGCCTCCCAGTGGCCAAAGAGCAACAAATCAATCAAGTAGTATTAGAATATAACCCAAAGTATAAAATAAACATGCACAAGCCCATACTGATATAACTGATTGAATAAATAGAAGGAAAGAGACCAACCGTCCCTGCAGAAGGTTTTCAGTAAATGAGGTAGAGCCCCCGTTCCAGGAGGTGGCGAGCTCCCTGCCCCACAGTGCGCTGCGCGTGGTGACCTCCCTGCCCCACAGTGCGCTGCGCGTGGTGACCTCCCTCCTCCCTGCCCCGCCGCGGGCTGTGCATGGCGACCTCCTTCCTGGGCGTGCAGCACGGAGAGGGCGGTGGGATGGGGACGCTGCAGTGGAGGCGCCCGCAGACACCCCTGGGCCCGGTGGTCAGGTCAGCATCCACTGGTCATGTGTTCACAGTGTGGCCGATGGTGAGGCTGCTGCCAGATCCTCCCAACCCTGACGACCCCAGCCCGGCCACACAGAGGCACAGCCCACCGTCTCACTAAGGAACGTTCCACAGAATTCCTCACCAGGCCTCCTCCAAACCGTCCAGGTCATCAGAGACAAGGAGAGTCTGAGAAACCGTCCCAGCCTAAGGGAGCCTGAAGAGACAGGACGAGCAGATGTCGAGGAAGAGATTGTTGGTGGGGGTGGATGAAGGGGGAAGGACGTCAGGACAAAGGAGGCGTAGGCCTCGGCAGTCGTGTGGCAGCACTGGCTTTTTTTTTTTTTTAAATATTTGTTTATTTATTTTTGAGACTGAGTCTCGCTCTGTTGCCCAGCCTGGAGCGCAGTGGTGTGATCTTGGCTCACTGCAAGCTCCACCTCCTGGGTTCAAGTGATTCTCCTGCCTCAGCCTCCTGAGTAGCTGGGATTACAGGTGCCCGCCAGCACGCCTGGCTCATTTTTTGTATTTTTAGTAGAGACGGGGCTTCACCATGTTGGTCAGGCTGGTCTCGAACTCCTGACCTTGCGATCCACCTACCTCGGCCTCCCAAAGTGCTGGGATTACAGGCGTGAGCCACCGCGCCCGGCCAGCACTGGCTTATTAATGGTGAGATGTTAATGGGAAAGCTAGGCGTGTGAGATATGGGAACTTTTACTATTTTTACAATAATTCTGTAAATTTAAAACCATTCTAAAATTAAAAACTTATTTTTGAAATGCAATATATTTGCTTTCCTTTTAAAGCACTTCCCTCATTCTTACCCAATGGACACACCTTCTCAAGTACTTAAGTAATTCTTTTTTTTTTTTTTTTTGAGACTGAGTCTTGCTGTCACCCAGGCTGGAGTGCAGTGGCTTGATCTCAGCTCACCATAACCTCTGCCTCCCAGATTCAAGTGATTCTCCTGCTTCAGCCTCCTGAGTAGCTGGGATTACAGGCTCCTGCTACCACACCCAGCTAATTTCTTGTATTTTTAGTAGAGACGAGAGTTTCATGTTGGCCAGACTGGTCTCGAACTCCTGGCCAGGTGGAACTTAGTGATCCACCTACCTCAGCCTCCCAAAGTGCTGGGATTACAGGTGTGAACCACTGCACCCAGCAAGTAATTCTTATGAACAAATTAGCCTTATAAAGTTGTCATAAACATGTGATGTGTGGCCAGGTTAGAGTCCCGTGTGACCTGGTCTGAGCTGGCCTCTGGGCGGCGTGCCTTGTCGGGGGTGCCATGGGCTGTTTCGGGGAGCACCAGCCTGGGGTGACACGCGCCTGTCGGGCGGATGGCGGCCTGGGGTGACGCGTGCCTGTCGGGCGGATGGCGGCCGGGGGTGACGCGTGCCTGTCGGGCGGATGGCGGCCGGGGGTGACGCGTGCCTGTCGGGCGGATGGCGGCCGGGGGTGACGCGTGCCTGTCGGGCGGATGGCGGCCGGGGGTGACGCGCCTGTCGGACGGATGGCGGCCAGGGGTGACGCGCGCCTGCACCAGGAGCAGCTTTCCTTGGCCAGTGCCCATGTTCCTGTTTTCATTTTTATCTTTTCTGGGGAGGACAGGAGATGATTTCAGTGTCTTTCCACTGAATGTTACGACCCGCTCCATGCACCGTGGAGGCACAGCTGAGGTGGGGCCTGTCTGGCTTCAGGGGGCCCTGGAAGGTACTTTTCACACCTCCCAACCCTCAGCACTGAGAGACTTCGGGAGGGGCACCTGTGACAGGGACGCGGGTCCCACCTTGCTGAACCCAACAGCGAGGGCATCTCTGCTTCTGTCCCTGGAGGTTGACAGCAGTAGTGTGGGAGCTGGGGCCTGGGTGGAGACCGCGTCAGAAACTCTGGTTTCACCTGGGGGGCCATGAATGTCCTGCCAAGGGTGAGACCCTCGGGGCTCTGGGTGGAGAGCAGCACCTGCCCAGAACCACCAGACCCTTGTCCCGGCTGCACCAGGGGCCAGTGGCCTTGTGCCCTCCTCCATCCTCCGTCCTGCAAGCCTCCGGCGGGGCTTGGCCTCACCTGCCTCTGTCTACTCAGGACTTTCAGGACCAGGCACTCCTGCAGGCAGAGAGGGGAATTTCTCGGACTGAAGTTGTTATTAGGTATTTTTTAAGACTGTTGTCTTAAAAACAGATAGCTTGTCTCTGTGGCCCCCACGCAGCAGCTTCCTTCACGGCAGCCAAACCCAGAAGCAGCCCAGCGTGCAAACACACCGAGGTGTGACTGTCAGCACAGCACGACTGAGCCGTGGGAGGGACTGGGTGATGCAGCGGCCAGGGGGTCTCAGACCCCGAGCTGAGCACGAGCGGAGAGGATGGGTGCATCCGAATGCCTGCAGAGCACAGAACGGGTCCACGGAGCACATCCACAGAGCGGGTCCACAGAGCACATCCACAGAGCGAGAGCACAGAGCACGTCCACAGAGCAGGTCCACAGAGCACATCCACAGAGCGGGAGCACAGAGCACATCCACAGAGCGGGTCCACAGAGCACATCCACAGAGCGGGAGCACAGAGCACGTCCACAGAGCAGGTCCACAGAGCACGTCCACAGAGCGGGAGCACAGAGCACGTCCACAGAGCGGGTCCACAGAGCACATCCACAGAGCAGGTCCACAGAGCACATCCACAGAGCGGGAGCACAGAGCACGTCCACAGAGCGGGTGCACGGAGCACGTCCACAGAGCGGGAGTACGGAGCACGTCCACAGAGCGGGTCCACGGAGCACGTCCACAGAGCGGGTCCACGGAGCACATCCACAGAGCGGGTCCACAGAGCACATCCACAGAGCGGGAGCACGGAGCAGGTCCACAGAGCGAGTCCACGGAGCAGGTCCACAGAGCACATCCACAGAGTGGGTCCACAGAGCGGGTCCACGGAGCAGGTCCACAGAGCACATCCACAGAGCGGGTCCACGGAGCAGGTCCACAGAGCGGGTGCACAGAGCAGGTCCACAGAGCGAGTCCACGGAGTAGGTCCACGGAGCACATCCACAGAGCGGGTCCACGGAGCAGGTCCACAGAGCGGGTCCACAGAGCACATCCACAGAGCGGGTCCACGGAGCAGGTCCACAGAGCGGGTCCACAGAGCACATCCACAGAGCGGGTGCACAGAGCAAGTCCATGGAGCAGGTCCACAGAGCACATCCATGGAGCAGGTCCACAGAGCACATCCACAGAGCAGGTCCACAGAGCACATCCACAGAGCAGGTGCACAGAGCAGGTCCACAGAGTACATCCACAGAGCACATCCATGGAGCAGGTCCACGGAGCAGGTCCACAGAGCACATCCATGGAGTGGGTCCACAGAGCACATCCATGGAGCGGGTCCACGGAGCAGGTCCACGGAGCAGATCCACAGAGCGGGTCCGCAGAGCACGTCCACAGAGCACATCCACAGAGCGGGTGCACAGAGCAGGTCCACACGTCGGATGCGGGGGCAGATGTGAGCAGTGTGCCTGTGGCCAGGGCTGTGTGTCTGCACGTCCACCAGCCTAAGCTGCTTCTCAGTGAAACCCACTGAGACTCTGGCTGAGGCCTGCCCCAAAGAGCTTTGCCGAGGAGGGAACCCCTCGCGCCCTCCTTCCCGTGAGCCTGCGTCTTTGGTTGCAGCTACAGCTGTCATGCTTCCATCTTATGAATCACAGGAATCCTGTTGGTGTTGGATGAGTTGACCCCAAAGAGACACAAGAACTCTCTAGAGACACTTCCTGGGGGTCCTGCGTGCTGGATCAGGGAGGCAGTAGCTCCTGACGCCTTCCTCCTACGTGGGCTTTGTGATCGCTGATGGTCACATGGGGGGCGTTTGGTGGCCTCTGTAGAGCGAGTGTCTTCCTGATGGGACACTGGGAACCACCAGCAGCCCGAGCACAAGGGCTCCCGGCCACTGGGCGGGGGGCAAATGTGAGGGCGAATGTTGGGCCCAGGGTGGTGGAGGTGTCCGGGCCTTGCCCGCCCCGGAGTTGCCCAGCTCTGCCCGAGGCCCTTCCTCCCACCCCAGCATCGGGCCCTTCCTCCCACCCCAGCTCTTCCACAATGGGTGTCTGGGGGTCCCTGCAGCCTCCCACCTCCCTCCTGGGAGAAGCCTGCACACACTGAGGGGCTGTTTGTTCTTTATTTGCAGAGGTATTGTGGCCAGTATTTTGGTTTTCTTATGTTTTGGAGTCACACAAGCTAAAGACGGGCCATTTTCCAGACCTCATCCAGGTAACTTGCCATTTCCTTCTCCGTGTGCCCCGTGGCAGTTCTGTTCTGAGCAGCCATCTGTGTCTGTGCTGCTGGGTGTGAGTGTCCCATCCTCCCCTCCGCCCGGCCCTCCCCAAGGTCTCCAAGGCCACTTCCCACGTGGACGAGGACGTGGCGTTCTCAGCTGGCCGTGTGCTCCTCCTCCAGCCACCAAGGGTCCCTCCAGGCTTTCTCTGGCCCTTTCACTCTTCCCTGTCCAGGGCTCTCCGGCCCTTCTCTTCCTGCTTCTGCCTCCTCTTTCCACAGACCCGGTGGCAGAGGGCTCCAGGTGGGGCTGTGAGGCCGGGGACTGCAGACTCCAGGTGGGGCTGTGAGGCGCTGCCCACCCCCTGCCCAGCACATTCTGCCTCGGCCTCCACCCCACCTTATGGCCCTGACTTCTAACAAACCCTCGTGGGCCAGAGCTTCCCCCAGTCTCAGTGCGCTGTCCCCACGTCCCACCCCAGGGAGGGGCTCAGGCTTCTGTAGGGTTGGTGGTTTCCCCAGAGTGGCCACACGAAGTAATTAGAAACATAGTTTCTGGTTCAACAGGAGTAGGTATTATAGGAAATTTCAAAAATGCAAAAAATACTTAAAAATAAAACTACCCACAAATAATAACCACTGTTAAATTTTCACGTTTGTGTATATGGACATATTCACGACCTCGAAAGACTGGAATCCTGAACGTGTGGCTTCGTGCATTCCCCACTTCAGGTTCAATAACTTCAGTCATTTTCTTATAATTTTTTTTTTTTTTTTGAGACGGAGTCTTGCTCTGTCGCCCAGGCTGGCGTGCAGTGGTGCGATCTCAGCTCACTGCAAGCTCCACCTCCCGGGTTCACGCCATTCTCCTGCCTCAGCCTCCCGAGTAGCTGGGACTACAGGCGCCGCCACCTCGCCCAGCTAATTTTTTGTATTTTTAGTAGAGACTGGGTTTCACCGTGTTAGCCAGGATGGTCTCAATCTCCTGATCCACCCGCCTTGACCTCCCAAAGTGCTGGGGTTACAGGGTAAGCCATTGCACCCGGCCCTTCCTTACTGATTTTTTAAATGACTTTAGTCATTTAGGTTTAAATGACTTTAATCATTTCCTTACTAATTTTTTGACAGCTGAAATTTTAATGCCTGCTTGTTTAGCTGTCATTTGAATGTACTACATTTAACCAATTTATTTAAGCCATAATACTGTATATTTAGAAAGTTTCCAGTTTTATTTTAATAAACTAGGCTGTGGTGAATTTTTTCCCTATGCTCTGTGTAAATATCTGATTATTCATTTAATAAAATGTCCCAGAAGTAAGTATTGAATTATAGGACACACACAGTTTAAGCCCGTGATACGTGTTATAAAATTGGCCTCCAGGAGAGCGGCGTCTGCCCCGGGAGAGCGGCGTCTGCCCCAGGGTCAGCGCCATGGTGGTGAGTGAAGCTTCCCCATCCCCAGAGGCCCTGAGCGGGGAGCCGTCCGGTGACCCAAGCAGGCTGGTCTCGCTGGCCGCTTCCTTGCCCAGGGCCTTGAGAAAGGGCTCCTTGAGTGCCTGGTGGGCTGCTCTGCTGACTGACAGCTGTGTAGGAAGGGCCCAGGGCTCTTGTCTGCCCAGTCAGCTGAGCACAGACGGTCTTGCCTCAGACGGGTTTGGATTGCTCAGCAGAGCAGTGGAAAGTGCAGCGATAGTCTAAAAACTGCCTGTCACACAGTGAAAAGCCTGGTGCAGTTACATGTTTGTTGGGTGGATTTGGAGGGAAGAAGAGCTGCCGGAAGCTCAGCCAGTGGCCGTCCTTGCTTGGAGATGCACCAAATCCCTCCTGGGTGCCGGCATCACCGGGTGCTGGGACGCAGCCGTGAGTGGGGCAGACTGGTCAGCAGGCAGCAGCTTTTCCTGGCATGTGGCCCCGGCACAGGGAGAGACTCCCGGGAGGTCCTCAGCTCCGTGCAGTCTAGGAGCTCCGGCTGCAGGTCCCCTGGTGGGATGTGGAGCATCTGGGCCTGAAGGTCTTGATGCTTCTGAAAGCTCCAGCCATGGCTCCTCTGAGCTGTGGCTTGTCCCCTCCTGCTGGGCAGGGCTGGGAGTTCCCAGGGTGTTCAGTTTTGTTTTGAGCTCTGCTCTACCTTTCTTCTGTTAGTTTAGTTTGCTTGGCATAAATTCCACGTTACTTTGCCAGTCTTCAATTTACTGATGGGGAAGCCTGTCCTGGAGCCACCTTCTTCCACGTGTCTTGTTAACTTGGGGGCCGGCAGGGAGCCCTCAACCCTCTGCAGTCACAACACATTGAAGTGGACAAGTGAATCCTGTGCAGCGGAGGTTCTGGGAGGGGCAGGGAGAAGGGTTCTCCAGAAAGGTGGTCCCTGTGGGCTCTGCCCACCTTCTTCCCACTCCCCTGGGTCTGGCCCAGGAATGCCCAGTCCGGCGGCTGTAGCCGTAGCCATTAGCGACTGGGCCTCATGAGGAAATGAGCCCAGCCCGGCCGTGGAGGGAGCCGCTTTCTTTGGAAACTTGAGTTGGCTGCAGCTCGGAGGGAGGCGGAAGGTTCTGGGCCACTGAGACGGGCACCCCTTCTGTGTAAACTGCATTTTCTTCCTGGCTCCCTCTGAAGGCTGAGTCAGCCACAGTGTTGCCAGGGCTGCTGAGGCTGCCTGTCTGTCTTTCTCCTGTGGTGTGATGTTTAGAAAGGCAAACGAGCGCTGGGGGCTGGAGGTGGCCCTGGGGTCAGGGAGGTCTGGAGTTGCTCCGGGGAGCGAGGCAGGAATGCAGACCAAGGGCCTGCTGGGTATTCGGGGGCGGCAGCCTGGTGCTGGTCACATGTGAAGCCTGAGTGGGGAGAGGAGTCCGAGATCACCTTTCTGATCTGGGGCCTTCCCCAACAGGAGAAATGTGAGAAAGATTCGACTCGGCAGTGGCGGGGAGGGAAGTTAGCCCCGGACGTGGTGACCTGTGGCCCACTCAGAACATTGTGGTTTCATGGGTATAGCTGTCCCCTCAGAGAGCGCCTGCAGGCCGGGCACCTGCTGCGAAGGTGTCCCCTTCAGTCAGTGTCGGGCGAGGGCCTGCAGGCCGGGCACCTGCTCCGGAGGTGTCCCCTTCAGTCAGTGTCAGAGAATGCCGGCAGGCCGGGCACCTGCTGCGAAGGCGTCCCCTTCAGTCAGTGTCAGAGAATGCCGGCAGGCCGGGCACCTGCTGCGAAGGTGTCCCCTTCAGTCAGTGTCAGAGAATGCCGGCAGGCCGGGCACCTGCTGCGAAGGTGTCCCCTTCAGTCAGTGTCGGGCGAGGGCTGCCCCAAATTAGTCTCACCACGACCTTTAGCTCTTGGGCCACTGGGAAGTGTTCAGGTTCTCACCCCGCACGTGAGGAATCAGTTTGTGATCTCAGCTGTCTGTCTTGGGTCCCAGACCTCCCTAAGCAGCTTTTCCTAAGAACACCAGGGCGTTTGTATTTCCTGCCGATGGAGGGCGGCTTTTCGTGAGCCATGGTGGCCGTCTTCCCCTGAGTACGTCGGGGCCTCCTGCGTTTGGTCCTAAAACCTCACGTCTGCGTGTCTTGCCATGAGCTGCTCGGAGCCGTGGGAAGTCAGGAATTGAGGGATGGTTTCACATTAGAAGTCTATTAACGTAACTCATCACATCAACATGAAAAATTAATCCCCTTAAATGCAGAAAAACAAAAATTCATATTCATCTATGACAAAAACTTAACATACTGGAATTTAAAAAAATTTTTAACATGATAAAAAAGTATCCTAGTCTGGGCAACATGTCAAAACCCCATCTCTACAAAAAAAAAAAAATTAGCTGGATGCGGTGGCAGTCACCTGTGGTCCCAGCTACTCAGGAGGCTCAGGTAGGAGGTCGCTCGAGCCAGGAGGCAGAGGTTGCACCAAGGTTGCGCTCCAGCCTGGGCGACAGAGACTCCATCTCAAAAAGAAATATCCACCAGAAACCTACCCAGACTTAATGGCACAAGGTTAGAAGCGTCACTGGTGAACAGGACAGGGATGTTTGCTGACTGATTCTGTGCAGCAGTTCACGGGCCGAAGATTTAAGGGCTGGAATGGAAAAAAATGAAGAAAAAATTCACTTTTTAGAGGGAAATTGTGCCTAATTCTCAGTTACAGCTTTATAAAGGCTCTCCAGGGACCTGTGAGGGGCCCAGAAGAGACGGGTGTGAAGGAGCCAGGAGCCAGCCTGGGGCTGAGCGGGGCCCGGAGGCCTGGGCCGGGCGCACTCACCTTCTGTCATCTGTCTTTGTAGCTTACTGGAGGTTTTGGCTCTGCGTGAGTGTGGTCTACGAGCTGTTTCTCATCTTTATTCTCTTCCAGGTAAGCCGTGTTTCTGGGTTGGATACCTGGGAACTTAGGTGACGGTCTGGCCCCAGGCAGGGTGACAAAGGAGGCCTTGCCCACCCGGCCCTCGAGTGATGGGAGGAAGCAGGGCCGGACCTCAGAACATAGGCCGAGCCGCGGGGGCCTCCAGGAGCATCTGTGTGGCCCTCGAGTGATGGGAGGAAGCAGGGCTAGACCTCAAAACGTAGGCCGAGCCGCGGGGGGCCTCCAGGAGTATCTGCTGGTGGGGGGCTGACTGTGGCCGTGTAGCAGGGCCACACCTAAGTGTGGACACAGACGAGGGCAGGGCCAGTGGTGCAGCTGCCAGGGTGGCTTTGCCCACAGCTGTCTGAGTGCGGGTAGGGACTGGGCATGAAGGGAGCAGCAAGGGACCTGCGATGCAGGCCAGCATGTGTGTGGCCAGGGCACATCTGGGCCTCAGAGGGGCCCCCAGCGCCCAGAGGGACAGGGTCTTTGTGTCTGTGTTTTGTGGTTGACCAGTGTGGCTGTGTGTGCTGCTTCCCCATCCTGACCACCTTCCGCAAGACGGGCGGGTGCGGGTGGGAGATGCAGCTCCTTTGTAATTCCTGGGTCAGGCTGTGTTGCTGCCACAAATGCTTACTTTATTAATACTCTCTGTTCCGTTTAACTCAGTTTAAACACACATTTTGGGGCTGTCTTCAGGTTACAAAGGACTTTGCTATTCCCAGTCTTAAAACTCTGTCAGTGCGTGACCAGATTTTTTTATCATCATGGCAGAATTGGCTTCTCTGGGGCAGTGTACGTTCTATGAATTTTAGCATTTGTGTGGACTTATAGAAACACAATTAGGATGTACAACAATTCCACTGGCCCCAAAATTCATTTGTGTTACCCCTTGGTAGTCGTACCCGCCCCGACCCCTGACTGCTGGTGAAGGACGCTTCTGTCTCCGAGAGTGTCCTATACACGGAATCATGCAGTGGGCAGCCTCTTCCCGCCCTGCACGGTGCCTCTGAGGTTCATCCAGGTTGCATGTGTCTTCCCATGCTCCTCTTTCTTTTAGTATTTATCTGTTTTTGAGATGGAGTCTCACTCTGTCACCCAGGCTGGAGTGCAGTGGTGTGATCTTGGCTCACTGTAGCCTCCACCTCCCGGGTTCAAGTGATCCTCCTGCCTCAGCCTCCCAAGTAGCTGGAATTACAGGCACCCGCCACCACCCCTCACTAATTTATTGTAATTTTTAGTTTCATCGTGTTGGCCAGGCTGGTCTTGAACTCCTGACCTCAAATGATCTGCCCGCCTCAGCCTCCTGAAGTGCTGGGATTCCAGGTGTGAACCGCCCCGCCGCCCTGGGCTCCTCTTTCTTGGCAGTGACAGTTTCTCAGGCTCCTTGTGTTTGGTGACCTGGACAGTTTTGTGGATTGGTCAGGAATGTAGTGGAATACCCCTCAAGTGACATTTGAAATTGGACAGTGTGAGTCTACCCAGGTTGTTCTTTTTCAAGATGGTTTTGAATCATCTGGGTCTCTTCCATTTCCAAACAAATGTGAGGATCACCCTTTCCAGTTCTGTGGAAAGAACAGGTGGAATTTTTTATAGGGATTGCATCGAATCTGCAAATCTGTTTTGGGAGTAGTGTCATCCTAACAATATTAACTCAGTCCTTGAAAATGGGATGGCTTTCTGTTTATTTAGGTCTGTAATTTCTTCCAACAATGTGTTAGAGTTTTCAGGGTTTAAGTTTTGCACTTCCTTTATTACATTTACATCCAGTTATCTTATTCATTTTATGCCCTTGTAAGTGGAACTGTTTTAATTTTACTTTTGCATTGCTCATTACTAGTGTATGGAAATGTAGCTTATTTTTGTGACTGGTCTTGCATCCTGCAACCTTGCTGAACTTATTAGCTCTAAGAGTTGTGGGGTGTTGGGGTAGATTCTTAAGAATATGCTATAGTCAAGATTATGTCTTCTACAAATAGAGTTCTACTTCTTCCTTTCCAGTCTAGATGTCTTTTATTTTCTTGTGTAGCTGCGCTGGCCAGAACCTGCAGCTCAATGTTTCCTAGAACAGGCAAGGATGGGCTTTTTTTTTTTCTTTTTTTTTGGAGACAGGGTCTTGCTCTGTTGCCCAGGCTAGAGTACAGTTGTGCGATCATAGGCCTCCACAGCCTCTAACTTCCCAGGCTCAGGTGATTTTCCTGCCTCAGCCTCCTGAGTAGCTGGGACTACAGCCATGTGCCACCACGCCTGGCTTTGTTTTTTTGAGACATAGTCTTGCTTTATCACCCAGTCTGGAGTACAGTGGCATGATCTTGGCTCACTGCAACCTCCACCTCCCAGGTTCAAGCTATTCTCGTGCCTCAGTCTCCGAAGTAGCTGGGATTACAGGCACGTGCCACCACACCCAACTTTTGTATTTTTAATAGAGACAGGGTTTCACCATGTTGGCCAGGCTGGTCTCAGAATTCCTGGCCTCAAGTGAGCCACCGCACCTAATTTTTAAATTTTCTGTGGAGGTGAGGTTTCGCCATGTTGGCCAGGCTGATGTCAAACTCCTAGGCTCAAGCTATCCATCCCCCTTGGCCTCCCAAAGTGCTGGGAGTATAAATGTGAGCCACTGTGCCTGGCCAGATGGACATTCTTACCTGATTCCTGATCTTAGGGGAAAAGCATCCGGTCTTTCCCCACTGAGTGTGTTAGCTGTGAGTTTTTCCTGGATCTCCCTTACCGAGTGGAGAACGTTCTGTGAGTTTTCATAGATCTCCCTTACTGAGCGGAGAACATTCTGTGAGTTTTTCATGGATCTCCCCTACCGAGTGGAGAACGTTCTGTGAGTTTTTCATGGATCTCCCCTATCGAGTGGAGAACGTTCTGTGAATTTTTCATGGATCTCCCCTACTGAGTGGAGAACGTTCTGTGAGTTTTCATGGATCTCCCTTACCAAGTGGAGAACGTTCTGTGAGTTTTCATAGATCTCCCTTACCGAGTGGAGAACGTTCTGTGAGTTTTCATAGATCTCCCCTACCGAGTGGAGAACATTCTGTGAGTTTTTCATGGATCTCCCTTACTGAGCGGAGAACATTCTGTGAGTTTTTCATGGATCTCCCCTACCGAGTGGAGAAAGTTCAGAGTTTTTCATAGATCTCCCTTACCAAGTAGAGAACATTCTAGTATATTCCTAGTTGGTTGAGTGTTTTTATCATGAAAGGTTGTAAGAGTTTTGTTACATGTTTTTTTTGCATCAAGTGAGATGATCATATGGGTGTTTTTTCCCCCTTTGTTAATATGATGAATTACATTTATTTTCTTATCCTGAACCAACCTTGCATTCCTGGGATAAATCCTGCTTGGTCGCAGGGTGTGCCTTTTTACATATTGCCGGACTTGCTTTCCTAGCATTTTATCTGAGATTTTTGCATCCATATTTGTAAGAGATACTGTCCTTTAATTTTCCTGGAATGTCTTGTTCTGGCTTTGGCACCAGGGTTTGTGAGGATGTGTCTGATGTTTTCTCATGATTCGTCTGGGGTGAAGGCACACACTGGCACCATCACCATGATGCACCTGTGGTGCTGTGGACCTTGACCACCAGGTGAGGTGTGTCTGTCAGGCTTTCCACGGTCAATCCGTAGTGCATTCTCCACAGGGGGTCACTGGTGCAGCCTGCACAGAGGGGAGTTTCGTTGCCCTCCTTGGAGTGTGCGTCTGTGCGCTACCTGGAACTCTTGTGCACGGGAGAGATCCTGCTTCTCTTCCGTTAGGTATTCCATCACGTGTTTGTTTACGTCAGTGCGGAATTACAGATACGTGTCTTACATGTGGATATTTATTTCAGCGCTGCTGTATTTATCATGGTGCCCAAATTCTTTTGCCTTTGGGAGTTTCCACTTGGTTCCTATATTGCTTTCACACGCCATCACTGAGTTTTTGGCTTTTTGTTTTGTTTTTCTGAGCACATCCTGACTTCCTAGCACTGCGGGATGCTCCAGGCTCCTCCTGTCCACTCCCTACCCCAGTCCTGGAATCAACCCCTTCTCTAAGAGCCCTGGGTCTTTCCTGAATATTAGGGACTGAGACCTGGGTGCTGGGTGGGCTGCGTGGTCCTGGGTGCCACAGCTCACTGTGTGCTCAGACGTCTGTAAATGATGTAAACCTCCCTTGAGGTCAGGCCCAAGAGCCTGCCTTGCCCCAAGGCCAAGAGGTGCATCTGGCTGATGCCAGCGTCTGGGTGAGGAAAGAGTGATGCCCCACAAGGGTGACTTCTGTGAGGGTGTTGGCCAGAGCACATGTGTGGGGAGGGGCCGGGGATGGGGCTGCGCAGCAGGAACTCGGGGCCCCGTCCCACTGCTGTCTGTCCAGTGGTCCTAGTCCCCATGTCCTGAAGCGCACCTGTGCCCACCTGGCCCCGAGGAGCACAGGTGTGGAGACTTGGGTTGTCGTGCCGGGGGTTCCTTCTATACGCGCTATCCCACCAGGATTTCCCTGGGGTGGGAGGGCTGCTGAGACAGGGCGCTGCCCTCCTCCAGGGTGACTGAGATGCAATTTACAACCATGATCTCCCCGGCCGGGCGCAGTGGCTCACGCCTGTAATCCCAGCTCTTTGGGAGGCCGAGGCGGGCGGATCACGAGGTCAGGAGATGGAGACCATCCTGGCCAACACGGTGAAATCCCGTCTCTACTAAAAATACAAAAAAAAAAAATTAGCCGGGCGTGGGTGGCGGCGCCTGTAGTCCCAGCTACTCTGGAGGCTGAGGCAGGAGAATGGCGTGAACCGGGAGGTGGAGGTTGCAGCGAGCTCAGATCGCGCCACTGCACTCCAGCCTGGGCGACAGAGTGAGGCTCCGTCTCAAAAAATAAATAAAAAATAAACAACCATGATCTCCCGTTTCAAGTTGCCACCACTAACTCTAGCCCCACTGACGGGGCACTGGCCTTGCAGACTGTCCAGGACGGCCGGCAGTTTCTGAAGTATGTTGACCCCAAGCTGGGAGTCCCACTGCCAGAGAGACACTATGGGGGAAACTGCCTCATCTATGACCCAGACAACGAGACTGACCCCTTCCACAACGTCTGGGTAAGACGCCGGGAGCCCTGAGGTGGATCCCTCCCCGGGTGTGGCCTGTGCCGGACCAGGCACCATCCATGCTCCTTCCTTGCCCCCCGTGCCCCTTGGCCCACATGTGGGGTCTCCTCCTGGCCCAGAGATGTGCTGAGGCCCTGTCCGTTTGGGTGGTGCTCACGATGGCCGGGCCCCGCTCTCTAGGCTGTCAGGGACGTGGTCTCCACAGGCCACAGCAGCACCTGTGAGTCCCTGGCCTTCTTCCCAGCGTCTGGCAGGTGCTGCTCGGTTGTGGGTTTGACCTGCCAGTGTGGGGGGTGGGGTGGCTGTGCCCCAGGGTCAAGGGTCACACCCTGTCGCCCACAGGACAAGCTGGATGGCTTCGTTCCCGCGCACTTTCTTGGCTGGTACCTGAAGGTACGGCACCTCCTCTTCGCGGCCACCCTGCCCCAGTTCTCACGCCTACCCTTCCTCTGGGCCCGTGGGGTTGAGCTCAGGGTGCTCTGAGTGTGGTGGGAGGGTGTCGCGCTGCATCCTCCTGGAGCCCTGGAGCCGAGCCCGGACCCTGGCCGGGTCCTCACTCCGTCCTCAGGGTGGGGCGGCGGAGAGAGGCAGCAGGGCAGGAAGTCCCGGCCCACCTGGGCTCAGGCACTGCCCCGTCCCACTTCTGAGGGGCCCTGTGCTACCTGGGGGCCAAGAGCGGTACCCGCTGGACCCTGCAGCGCACCCGGCAGCCCCTGCACGCAGCCTCGGCTGGCTTGGCAGAGGGACCAGTACCCCGGCAGTCTGGTGTCAGGCCCGGGCATGGGGATGCTGCCTTGTTTGCTGACAGTGATAGCATCGAGGCTGCTGGAGGGGCAGCCACCCCGCCCACACTCACCCTGAGACCTCGCTGAGGGGCCGCCCACTCACACTCACCCTGAGACCTCACTGGGGGGCTGCCACCCACACTCACCCTGAGACCTCACTGGGGGGGCCGCCCACCCCACACTCACCCTGAGACCTCGCTGGGGGGCCGCCCACCACACTCACCCTGAGACCTCGCTGGGGGGCCGCCCACCCCACACTCACCCTGAGACCTCGCTGGGGGGCCGCCCACCCCACACTCACCCTGAGACCTCGCTGGGGGGCCGCCCACCCCACACTCACCCTGAGACCTCGCTGGGGGGCCGCCCACCCCACACTCACCCTGAGACCTTGCTGGGGGTCCTGCCAGTGCTCTCAACTCCAAGAATGTTGCCAGCCGGGGTGGGGGCCGTGTGCACCCGTGGGCAAGGCCGAGCATGGCAGCACATCCCACACTCTGGTTGACCCTGGCACCCGCAGACCCTGATGATCCGAGACTGGTGGATGTGCATGATCATCAGCGTGATGTTCGAGTTCCTGGAGTACAGCCTGGAGCACCAGCTGCCCAACTTCAGCGAGTGCTGGTGGGACCACGTAGGTGCCGGCAGAGCCCCCAGGGCAGTGGGTGCAGGCTGAGGGGCATTCTCGGTTCCCCTGTGCCCTGCTGGGGTCTTCCTCAGGGCCCGTTACCCCCCAACCCCTGCGACGAGTGCTGGCCCCTCCCCGCAGTGGATCATGGATGTGCTTGTCTGCAACGGGCTGGGCATCTACTGCGGCATGAAGACCCTCGAGTGGCTGTCCCTGAAGACGTACAAGTGGCAGGGCCTCTGGAACATTCCGACCTACAAGTACGTCATGGGGGCTGCAAGGGCAGGGCTGGGTGCGGGTTACCCAGAGGCAGCCTCAGCGTCTGTGCCCCAGCGGACCCCGAGCACCAGGCCTGTCCAGCGTGCGGCTCAGCGGGGTGACTGCGGGGCTTTGCCTCCCGGAACCTCCCGTCTGACCCGTTGTCACTTGAGCCTGGCCGCCCCTCATGGTGGCCACGGCGTCTGACCCACTCACCTCGCTCCTCAGTCTCCGGCCGGCCTGGCTCAGGGGCTCTGGGATCCTTCCGTGCTTCTCCCTCCCCTGGTTGCTTTGGTTATGAAATAGTTGCTGGTACTTTGTCATTATGACTTTGGAATTTTAAAAAGATACAAAAGTCTAAGGAAAGGCCTGGGGGGCGGGGGTCTCCCCTCCTGCCTGTGGGTGCCCCGGCTCTGCCTGGATACCTCTGCACACGTGGCCAGCTCATGGCGCCATGGAGCGCCCTCTGAGGCGCTGCGGCCGCTGCTCAGACTGGAAGAGACTGAACAGCAGAGGGCTGTGGGGAGGCAGGGCTTGTGGCTGCGTGGCCAGACCTCGGAGAGCGGCCAGGCAGCAGCTGGGTAACCAGGAACAGAGTCCGTGGCCCGATGCCGCAGGGTGGGGCCGGGTGACCAGGAGCAGAGCCAGCCCGTTGGCGCAGGGCGGGGCCGGGTGACCAGGAACAGTCTGTGGCCCGATGGTGCAGGGTGGGGTTCGGTGGGCTGCCGTCCTCAGGCTGCCGGCTCTGTGGTTCCCAGGGGCAAGATGAAGAGGATCGCCTTCCAGTTCACGCCCTACAGCTGGGTTCGCTTCGAGTGGAAGCCGGCCTCCAGCCTGCGTCGCTGGCTGGCCGTGTGCGGCATCATCCTGGTGGTAAGGCCGGGCTGCCTCGCGACGGCGTGGCGGGCTGGGGGCCAGAGCTGGTGCTCACCTTCTCCTCCCCTAGTTCCTGTTGGCAGAACTGAACACGTTCTACCTGAAGTTTGTGCTGTGGATGCCCCCGGAGCACTACCTGGTCCTCCTGCGGCTTGTCTTCTTCGTGAACGTGGGTGGCGTGGCCATGCGCGAGATCTACGACTTCATGGATGACCCGTGAGGGCTGCGGGGAGCCGGGCGGAGACACCCCCGGGCGGGGGTCCGGGTGGAGACACCCCTGGGGGGCAGGGGGCCGGGGAGCAGAGACTGGGAGGCTGGGGCCTGGGCAAGGCCTCCTGGAGGACCCTGGGGGGCCCGGAACGCTGAGCCCCCTGCTACCCCTGCAGGAAGCCCCACAAGAAGCTGGGCCCGCAGGCATGGCTGGTGGCGGCCATCACGGCCACGGAGCTGCTCATCGTGGTGAAGTACGACCCCCACACACTCACCTTGTCCCTGCCCTTCTACATCTCCCAGTGCTGGACCCTCGGCTCCGTCCTGGTGCTCACCTGGACCGTCTGGCGCTTCTTCCTGCGGTGAGTGGGGGCGGGCGGGTGTGTTCCGAAGGAGGGCTGCTGTCCGGGTCTCTTGGCGCAAGCGCTGTGGGAGTTTGGTGGTGATGGTGCCTCCTGTCCTGCTCCAGCCCTCTGGCTGCTTCTGTGGGAGGGGCCTTTCCTGACCCAGCCCTCGGGTCCTTCACTCTGCACTGGTGGATCCAGGCTCCTCAGGGCTCCAGTCAGCCACGGCTGCTGTCGCAGGGCCAGGGTACCCGGCCCCCACCCAGCCCATCCTGGACCTCCACAGGGATGAGGTGCCAGCTGTCCGTGGGGCCTGCAGTGGGGGCTGGTGTGGAAGCAGGTGATGACACTGCCCCCTGCCCCCAGGGACATCACTTTGAGGTACAAGGAGACCCGACGGCAGAAGCAGCAGAGCAAGGATGACCAGGGCAGCGCCGTTGGCAACGGGGACCAGTACCCGCTGGGGCTGGACGAAGACCTGCTGGAGCCTGGGGTGGCCGAGGGCGAGGGGCCACCAACTCCAAACTGACCTGGGCCGTGGCTGCCTCGTGAGCCTCCCAGAGCCCAGGCCTCCGTGGCCTCCTCCTGTGTGAGTCCCACCAGGAGCCACGTGCCCAGCCTTGCCCTCAAGGTTTTCTTTTCCTTTTCTCCCGTGCATCTGGTGAGGCTGAAGGCAAGGGGTGGAGGAGGCCCCAGCACAGCCTCATCTCCGTGTGTACACGTGTGTGTGTGTGTACACATGCATGGCCACCTGTGGTGTGCACGTGTGCTCTCCTCCAGTGCCGGGAGCTGGCTGGCGTGGCAAGGGTGTGCTCTGGGGCAGCGTGTCCCTCAGGAACCAGGTCCTCCCTCCCCTTTCTGCCTGGTCAGCCCCGTGGCCTCTGGCCCACCAAGCTCCGTGTCACTCAGCCACGGCATGGCCCCGGCAGGGACATCACAGTACCCTTTCTGCACTCCGTGGGCCCCGGGTGCACTGAGGCCTGGAGGAGTCCACCCTGGCTCCACATCCACCTCCGCAGCTCGCGTGGGCGTTCGTCCACAAACACTCCATAGCTGAGAGGCAGTGGATCCAGGCGGCGACGCTGAGCCATTTCCTCAGAGCCTTCCTTTCACACAGACCACCCTGGAGGACACGCGGACGGGGTCAGAGATCACTGAGCTGGCCCCTCCGGGGGGCCTGGAACCCGGATGCTGGGGCCATGACGCCTCTGGCTCCGAGTTGAGGGTCGTCTTCACGAGCAAAGAGAACCAATAAAGTGACAACGAAAGTCTGAGGCTTCCAGCCCTCCCCCCAGCTCCCCGTGTCCTGCTTTAGGGTCCAGTGCAGCCCCCCAGCCTGCTCTCACACCCAGCGCCCACTTGGGGAAAACCACAGAGGACGGGAGGCACCGGGGTCAGCCTCAGCCTCTGCGCCTGAGCAAAGACTTGGCGCCCGCCCCGCCCTGCCTCCCAGAGAGAGCAGGTGCCGGACGCAGCCCCTCCCCCAGGCTCCAGGAGGGTCCAGCACCCACCCTCTACTGCGTTTGTCCCAGGGCCGGCGACCACTGGGCAGTGGACACAGGATTCCTGGAGAGGGACAGCTGCCTTCTCGGGCCACTTTTTTTTTGAGATGGAGTCTTACTCTGTCACCCAGGCTGGAGTGCGGTAGCACCATCTTGGTTCACTGCAACCTCCGCCTCCCAGGTTCAAGCAATTCTGCCTCAGTCCCCCAAGTAGCTGGAATTACAGGTGCCTGCCGCCACTCCCGACTAATTTTAGTATTTTTAGTAGAGATGGGGTTTTACCACATTGGCTAGGCTGGTCTTGAACTCCCAACGTCAGGTGATCCACTTGCCTCGGCCTCCCACAGTGCTGGGATTACAGGCGTGAGCCACCGTGCCCAGCCAGGCCACTATTTTTTAAACTTTACCATGAAAATTTTCAAACACAAATGGAGAGAAAAGGGGTTCCCTGAGCCCGGTTCCTAGCAGGGGGGAGGTAAGGGGTGTCGGTGGCTGGTTGGACACAGCCTGAGGGGACTCCAGGAGCCAGATGCACCCACACTGCCTGCTCTGCCTCAGGGCCCCAGGCTTTAAACAGCTTTACTTTTTTTCTTTGACTACTTTTGGGGAAATTTTCAACCCCTGTATGTCAAGGGCTGTAATGTGGAGCACACATGAGAGCAGCCTCCTGGGCTCGGCAGGAAGATGTCCTGTGTGGCCACCACGCCCGGTGCCCAGCAAATCCCTTTTCCAGTCACAGCTACTCACAGCTTTGGCCTCTGCGGCCCTGCCCTGTGCGGCAGGACACACGGGGCCTCAGCATCTGCTCTTTGCAGGTGGCAGCTTTGACCCCTCAGGAGGAACTCCCCATTGTGGGGGCCCCTCTCCCCTCCCTCACTCCTGTGGGACCCCACTGTCACTCCACCCGTGCTCTGCATCCCCCTGATGCTCTGAGCCCCGTGGCGGCCGGTGGCGTGGTGGCAGGCGGGGGTGACGGTGGCAGGCGGGGGTGGCGGCCGGCGGGGGTGGCGGCCGGCGGGGGTGACGGTGGCGGCCGGCGGGGTGGCGGCCGGCGGGGGTGGCGGCCGGCGGGGGTGACGGCAGGCGGGGGTGGCGGCCGGTGGCGTGGTGGCAGGCGGGGGTGACGGTGGCGGCCGGCGGGGGTGGCGGCCGGCGGGGGCGACGGCAGGCGGGGGTGGCGGCCGGCGGGGGCGACGGCAGGCGGGGGTGGCGGCCGGCGGGGTGGCGGCCGGCGGGGGTGGCGGCCGGTGGCGTGGTGGCAGGCGGGGGTGGCGGCCGGCGGGGGTGGCGGCCGGCGGGGGTGGCGGTCTGCTCGTGGTCACCGTCTGCTCTTCCCAAGGAGCAGGACGAGGCGGGGCTTGCGATGAGTCCTGTGTTCAGGCGCCCGCCGTGTCCCAAAGGCGGCCCCTGGGAGCCTTTCCGGCAGCAACTCAACCCCAGACAGCGCCCAAGGGCTCTGGTTCCCCACACACCGAGATGCTCCGAACTCACCTTGGGCATCTCTTGCCCCAGGCCTGGCATCACCCATGTCCCCAAGGAGCCCTGTTCCCTGACTAGGGGGGTCATAGTTAAGAAACTAAGATCCTGGGTCATTTTTTAATGTAGTATGTATGTATATATGTATGTATGTGTGTGTTTTTGAGACGGAGTCTTGCTCTGTTGCTGGAGTGCACTGGCGCAATCTCAGTTCACTGCAACCTCCACCTCCCAGGTTCAAGCCATTCTCGTGCCTCAGCCTCCCGAGTAGCTGGGATTACAGGCATGGCCACCACGCCCAGCTAAATTTTGTATTTCTAGTACAGACAGGGTTTCATCACGTTGGCCAGGCTGGTCTCGAACTCCCGACCTCAAGAGTTCCCGACCTGATCCACCCACCTCAGCCTCCCAAAGTGCTGGGATTACAGGCAGGCGTGAGCCACTGTGCCCGGCCTCCGCACCCAGCCCCTGGGTCGCTTTAAAGGGCTTTATTGGGCCGGGTGCGATGGCTCACACCAGTAATACCCAAGACCAAACACCAGCCTGGGCAACATGGCAAGACCCTGTCTCTACAAAAAATACAAAAATTAGCCAGGTGTGGGGGTGCACGCCTGTAGTCCCAGCTACCTGGGAGGCTGAGGTGGGAGGACGGTTTGAGTCCCGGAGGTCGAGGCTGCAGTGAGCCGAGATCGCACCACTGCACTCCCACCTGGATGAGTGAGAGACCTTGTCCAAAAAAGGGGGGTTGCCGGGGAACTTCTTTGCAATGAATTTGTAGTTGCTGACTCAGCATCAGACCTTTGAAAGCTGACAAGCGTCCCCCTCTTGGCTTGGCAGGGCAGGGCACCCCGGGCTGGCCCACCTTGATCAGCTGCCCACCCGTGGGCAAGATGGGCTGCCCCTGAGGGTGGGCCCCACCGTCCCACACAGAGCTGCAGACAAAGCTGGGGCGAGAACTGGGCTCCAGGCAGGACCCCAGGTCGGGCTGCGCTGGGCAGTGCTGGGAGCTCCTGAGGCTCCAGGGTGGAAGCTGTGGGAGTGGCTGGGCCTGTGGGCAGCTCCCAGCAGGCGTCACCCTGCACAGGCAGAACCAAGGGGCATCCCCCACCCCAGGCAGGGCCTGCCCTGTGCTCCCCAGTGTGGGTGGGGTACGGCTCACAGGACCCAGCTGAGCGCAGCCAGGGCCTTGGGCTGCTTCCCTGGTGCAGGTCCCTTAGGCAGTGAGAAACCCATGCCACGTGAGGTGGTGTCGTCTCTGATGCCAGCACAACTCGCAGGGACCCCAGGAAGGACAAGAGCCCCTCCTGCCAAGAAAGTGCTTTAATGGTTTATAAAGTGTCCAAAATATACTGGCAAAAATAAGCGGATCTGAGCGTTTCTCTTCAAACCTAGGATATGCAGGGCGAGGACGTGGCAGGGGCTGGTCAGCCCCAGGGGTGCCTCGAAGCCGGTCGTCCAGGGAGAGCAGCGGCAGGAAGCGCCTCAGGAGATGACCCTCAGGGATGGCTTCTCCTCCTCCAGGGCCTGCAGCCGGTCCTCCATCGCCTCGGACCAGTAAATGTCGTACAGGCTGCACAGAGGCCAGAAGGGAGGCATGGGTCTGTGTCCTCCCCAACCCCCGCCTTCCTCCCTGGGCAGCCCTGGCCACACCACCCGCCCAACGCGTCCACATACACCAGCTGCTCCAGGAGGCAGCCCGGCTGCCGGACACTCTCCACCAGCTGCAGGACGCCCGCGTCCCCCAGGCAGTTGTTGCTGAGGTCCAGCTCGCGCAGGCTATGGTTGGCCAACAGGGTCGCGGCAAGGCTGCTGCAGCTGCTGTCACTCATATCACAGTCGCCAAGCCTGGGTGGAGCAGGGTGGGGGTCAGGGTGCGGGGCGTGCCTGGCACCACATGACCAGCCGAGCAGCCTGGGCCTGGGGGGTGCGATGGAGGCCCACGCCGTGAAGCCCAAGGACCGACGGACACCTGTGCTCGGCAACTCGGGACCCTCAGGTGGGGCCGTCCCCAAGGCTCAGCCTTGGCAGCTTGTCTCACTGTCCCTCTATGGCCCTGGGCAGGTTCCCCACCACAGACAAAGGCCACACAGACAAGTGGGGCACGGCAGCCTGACATCTGAGACCTTCCGCAGGGAGGAGAAAGGACAGGAGGGAGATGCCGTCCACCCAGAGAGCCACACCCACCCCCTTGCCTCTCCTCGGGGTGGGCTTCAGAGGAGAAGCCAGCCAGAGGCCGAGGGGCAGCTGTGGGGAAACGAGGGTATGGAGACCACCAAGAAAGGCACAGAGTGGACAACAGACTTGAGGTTCCAGAGAGTAACGAGGGTACAGGCCAGACAAGAGGGTGGAGGAGACAAGACCCGACACCCACTTCCCGGGGTGGAGCCGCCACAGGCCGGACAGCAAGGCCAAGGAGTTGTGCTGGGCCTCTCCAAAGTGGGGGCCAGAGAAGCTGCAGGACCCCCACCCTGTGCGGTGGCTCAGGGGGAACCAGTCTGCAGTGAGCAGGACCCAAGGTTCCTCTCCACACCTGGAACACCCACAAGGTCCTGACAGCCAGGATGGTGTCCCTTGGCAGGGAACTGGAAATCCCCCAGCAGGAGAAAGCCCTCGGGAAACATAGCCATGACTCAGTCTGCAGGACCCCCTGTCCAGCATGACTTAGCCTGCAGGGCCCACTGTCCAGGGCTCCGAGGCCTCACTCAGAACCTGGTGCCCAGCCCAGGATGACCAGCCACCCATGGAAAGCCCCTGGCAAGAGGCACACGGGAAATAGCAAACAAAAGACAAAACACTGAGAATGGAAATTCAGTAGACTGGCTGGAAATGAGAACATCTCCCAAAAATAAAACATCGAAGAGAAAGAAAATTTGGAGAGCACAATTAGAGGGCCAGTCCACAAGACATCAGGACAGGCTCATGGGCACACCAAAGAGAAAGGGAAGAAAAGAGAGAAAAAAAATCAGCAAAGGCATATTTTCTTAGAACCAAGTATCCAGCACAGTCAAAGAACAAGACCCACATCAAAGCCAAGCACATGGAACCCCGAACACAATGGACAAAGAAATCTGGAAAAACTGCTGAGAAAAAGCAGATCATACGCACAAGATCACAGTGGCTCATGCCTGTAATCCCAGCACTTTGGGAGGCTGAGGCAGGCAGATCATTTGAGGTCAGGAGTTCAAGACCAGCCTGCCCAACATGGTGAAACCCCATCTCTACTAAAAATAAAAAAATTAGGCCGGGCATGGTGGCTCACTCCTGTAATCCCAGCTCTTTGGGAGGCCAAGGCAGGTGGATCACGGGTCAGGAGATCGAGACCATCCTGGCTAACATGGTGACACCCTGTCTCTACTAAAAATGCAAAAAATTAGCCGGGCGAGGTGGCGGCGCCTCTAGTCCCAGCTACTCGGGAGGCTGAGACGAGAATGGCGTGAACCCGGGAGGCGGAGCTTGCAGTGAGCCCAGATCGTGCCACTGCACTGCAGCCTGGGCGACAGAGCAAGACTGTCTCAAAAAAAAAAAAAAGCTGGGCACAGTGGCACACGCTATACCCAGCTAAATGATCCAAGGGCAGAGCAGGGGCACAAGGCCTCCAAAAATTACCTTCTGCAGAAACATTTCTCAGGAAGCTGCAAGAAAACGTCCTTCAACAAAGGGAGGAAATCCGGAAAGACATCCTGACCCGGAAAGACATCCTGACCCGGAAAGACATCCTGACCTGGAAAGACATCCAGAGCCGGGCAGGGTTCCCGCGCGGGAGGAAGGTGGGCGGGGCTTCCAGGAAGATGGACCACAGGGTGGCCAGGGAGGCTAGAGCCGCATAAAGCTCTCAGGTTTCATGAACTATGACCTCTTTCAAAGCTAAAAAGAGAACTCAAAGTGGTGCCACCACCCTGCCTTGCCCAGCACATGAACATGCATGCTCGCTCTCACCCATGTACTCATGCACACGCACACTCGTGCTGACACGTGCTCACACACTAATGCTCACTCTCACCCATGTGCTCCCACACATGGACAGTCGTGCTCACACTCATGTTCTCACACACAGACACGCACGCTCACTCTTGCCTGTGTGCTCATTCTTGCTGTGCTCATACACACACTCATGCTCACAGACACGTGCTCACTCTCGCCCATGTGCTCCCACATGGACAGTCGTGCTCACACTCATGTTCTCACACACGGACACTCATGCTCACTCTCACCCATGTGCTGACACAATCATGCTTACACGTGCTCACATGGACACTCGTGCTCACTCTTCGCCCATGTGCTCAATCATGCTCACATGCTCCCAGACATGTATGCTCACTCTCGCTCGTGCTCGTGCTCACACGTGTTCACACACGTGCTCTCACCCATGTGCTCATACACGGACACTCATGCTCACACACACGGAGTCGTGCTCACTCATGTTCTCACACACGGACACTCATGCTCACTCTCACCCATGTGCTCAATCATGCTCACACGTGATCGCATGGACACTTGTGCTCATACTCGCTTGTGCTCACACACTCATGCTCACGTGCTCACTCGTGCTCTCACCCATGTGCTCACTCTCGTGCTCACACACACGGACACGTGGCTCACTCTCGCCCATGTGTTCACACACACGGGCAGTCATGCCCACACGTTCTCACACACGGACACTCATGCTCACACATACGAACACTTGTGCTCACTCTTGCCCATGTGCTCACACAGTTGTGCTCATACATTCTCACACGGACACTCCTCTGGCTCGTGCTCACACACACGGACACTCATGCTCACATGCTCACACAGACACGTGCTCACTCTCGCTCGTGCTCACACGTACACTCGCTCACTCTCGCCCATGTGCTCAGACACGCTCATACACACTAGTGCTCTCACCCATGTGCTCACACACGGACACTCGTGCTCACACGTGCTCACACGGATACTCGTGCTCACCCATGTACTCACACACGGACACTCATGCTCACTCTCGCCCATGTGGTCACATGAACACTCGTTCGCATGCCCATGTGCTCACACAAACGGACATTTGTGCTCACACTCGGGCTCACTCTCACCCATGTGATTTCACAGACACACATGCTCACACTGTGCTCACACTCACAGACACTGCTCATTCTCGCCCATGTGCTCACACACACGGACACTCGGGCTCACACATGCTCACATTCATGGACACTCGTGCTCACACATGCTCACATGGACACTTGTGCTCTCTTGCCCATGTGCTCACAGACACCCATGCTCACACACACGTGCTCACATACGCCTCACCCATGTGCACACTCATGCTCACACACTCGTGCTCACACCCACATGTGCTCACACACGGACACTTGCGCTCACTCTCACCCATGTGCTCGCACACACGGACACTCGTGCTCACACAGACACTTGTGCTCACTCACCCATGTGCTCACACACGTGCACATGACCTCCCAAATATGTGTACTCGTGTCCCTCTCACACTCACCAGAGCACCCGCAGCACGGAGCCGGGCTGGCCCAAGCCCTTGCAGAGTTCCTGCACGCCCGCGTCCCCCAGCCTGTTGTTGCTTATCTGCAGCTCCAGGAGAAACTTATTCTGGGTCAGCACCGAGCTGAAGTGGGAGCAGCAGGCGGCTGTGAAGCTGCAGGACTTCACCCTGTGGACAGACAGGACTGAGGCCTGGCAGCGGACCAGGCTGGCCCACAATTGCAACTGGCCCTTCTCCTGAAAGCCCCACATGGACCTGAGCAAAAACATCTGAGAGCCTCCCAAGGTGTGGGCACCTGCACCTGGTCCTCAGCCCCAAGCACCGTTACTATCAAACCACAGGCTGCTCCCTGGCCCATGCATTCTGAACGCCAGAGCTGAGCCCAGCACCTCCACTGGAGTCGCTCACTCCTCCCCTGGTCTCCTTGGTGACCCTGGCCCTCTCTTGGGCGACAGGGCCCTGCCCCGACAGCCACACTCACCACAGTGACTCCAGCTGGCAGCCGGGCTCCAGCAGCGTCTCACACAGCAGCCGGGCACCCTCGTCCCCCAGCTCGTTGCCGGCCAGGCTGAGCTCCTTCAGGCTCTCCTTGGTCCTGAGGACACGGCACAGATCCGCACAGCTCTTGGCGGTGATGCCACACTCCCAGATCCTGCAGGACATGGACCCCCCCAGACTTTCCTCAGCGCCATCTCATGGCCTGAGGTGCGCCCAGCGGGTGGGGGAGGGCTCTGAGGACGGCCCGCGGCCCCTGACCCTCCAGGAAGGAGGCCTCGGGGAGGTGACTCACCACAGGGTCCTGAGGCTGGAGCTGGGGTGGAGCAGCCCTGGGCACAGCTCTGCAATGCCCACATCACCCAGCTTGTTGCTGCCCAGGGCCAGCTCCCGCAGCGAGGCCTTGGAGGCCACGATGCTGCACAGGTCCCGGCAGTTGTTTGACGTGATACCACAGCTCTCCAGCCTGGGGACGCAGGTCACCCGTGAAGCAGCATGGGACCCCCGGCCCACACCCCGCACCTCCCCAAGGCCCAGGGCCTACTTGAGCGCCTCCAGCTGGCAGGGGGAATCCTTCAGGCCCTGGCACAGCACACGGACGCCGGCCTCATTGATGTCGTTGTTGCTAACCGTGAGCTCCTTGAAGTCCGGCTTGGCCCTGAGCACGGAGGCCAGGGGCTCGCAGCTGGCAGCCGAGAGGTTGCAATACTCAAGCCTGGGGGGTAGCCGAGCTTAGCACCACACAGGAATGTGCACCAGCCAAGGGTGTGATGCCAGGGAGTGCAGGGGGGTGCTGGTGTCTCATCTCTCCCTCAGCCTTCTCCTGCCTAGGCATCAGGTGGCAGTGCTGAGGGCCCCCCCAGACTCATCCAGAGGCCCAGGCCTCTGTGGACACCGGCATTCCTTCTGGAAACCCCTCACCCCCTCCCCGACCTCGGACCTCGGGGCCCAACCAGGCCCAGGACAAAGAAACCAGCCTCTGGAGGGCAGGGCCGCCTGCACGTGCCAGGCCGTGGTCAACTCACAGTGGCCGGGCCCCCCACACACACTGAAGTGGTGAGTGGAGCCGGACTCACGGCCAGGTCTGTTCCCACTGTCAGGTCCTGGGGCAGCTGTGCCTTGCAAAGGGCAACTGGAGGGGGAGGGAGGGCGACGACAGATCCCCCCAGTCCCAGCATCATGGAGAGGGGAGAGCACCACAAGGACCCTGTGACCTGAGTCCCTCCTCACGGCTCCTGGCAGGCGATGTGCTACATAGGGGGCTGGCTGGGGGACAGGCAGTGGAGAGCATGGGTCCCGGGGCAGGGGACACACTCACTGCAGCTTTTCCAGGCGGCACTGGGGGTCCAGGAGTCCCTCGCAGAGCAGCTGCAGGCCCGCATCCCCCAAGAGGTTGTCGCTGAGGTGCAGCTCCTGAAGCGTGGGCAGGGAGCGTAGCGTGCCGGACAGGACCCCGCAGCCGGCCCCCGTCAGGTAGCAGTTCTGGAGGCTGGAGCATACCTGGCCGTCAGCAGGGCTCCCCTGAGCCAAACTGCCACACCCTTCACCTGCCAGAGCCTGGAGCCCGGAGCGGCGCTCTGCAGGCGGTAGGTCTGTACTGCTCCTTCCCTGGACAGGGCTCTGGGGTCTCCAGGCCGAGTGAAGGAGGGCACACGTGTGGCTCGGCTCAGGGAAACCTTGTCTGCAGACACACCCTTCAGCAGGGGTCCTGTGGTGATGCTGGAAGGCCAGGGATGGCGGGCGGGCCCAGACCTTGGGCGCAGGGGCTGGGACAAGGCAGGAGGGGCCCTGTCCCCCGCCGTGAGGCCACCAGGCCTGTGTGCCTCTGGCTGATGCTGGAAATGCCCGCTGCCACCACCTGCCCACCCACAGCTGCCCACGAGCCCCTGGCAGCTTTGTCCCCTGCTGCCGGGCTACCAAAGCAGGCCGCACCAGGCCAGAGGCAGTGCCAGGCCCCACCACACCTCAGCTTCTGGATCTTGCAGGAGGGCTCTGCAGGCCCTGGAGCACGCAGTGCACGCCGGCATCACCCAGCTCATTGCTGCGCAGGCTGAGTTCTGTCAGTGCAGGGTTGACTCGGAGTGCCGAGCTGATGTCGCCGCACCGTGCCTCTGTGAGGCCACAGTCGTCCAGCCTGCAACCAGACCCCAGGGTCATGCGGGCCACGCTCAGGCTCCTCCACTACCCCACGCGCAGATTACAACCCATCAGCGGGCCCAGAAGACAGCACGGCAAGTCACACAGGACGTTGCAGAAATGAAACAAAAAAGAGGAGAACTGTTCTGTGAAAGTTTTAAGGCCGGGCGCAGTGGCTCAAGCCTGTAATCCCAGCACTTTGGGAGGCCGAGACGGGCGGATCACGAGGTCAGGAGATCGAGACCATCCTGGCTAACACGATGAAACCCCGTCTCTACTAAAAAATACAAAAAACTAGCCGGGCGAGGTGGCGGGCGCCTGTAGTCCCAGCTACTCGGGAGGCTGAGGCCGGAGAATGGCGTGAACCCGGGAGGCGGAGCTTGCAGTGAGCTGAGATCCGGCCACTGCACTCCAGCCTGGGCCACAGAGCGAGACTCCGTCTCAAAAAAAAAAAAAAAAAAAAGAAAGTTTTAAGATGCTTGCACGTATGCAGACGTGTGCCTGAGGCCTCACGTGCTCCTCACCTCCAACCTGAGGCACGAAGCACAAAAGCTCCTGGTCTGTCTCTAGGGAAAAAAATCAAACCTGTCTGAGGTGACACCTACGGGAACTGCCTGGAACAGGACGCAGCAGGTAGTTCAGACACCGGAGCAAATACACAGTGACACCAGCTTCTAACATGACAAATACACATACTCCAGTCCCTCCTGATTAAATGAATAACTGAATAAATACAGCCAGGAAAAAAACCAGGTCTTGCTCACAAAAGAATGACAATTGATCAATGTGGAGGAAAGAAAGAAATTACAAAATTCAGACCGGGCGCGGTGGCTCACACCTGCAATCCCAGCACTTTGGGAGGCCAAGGTGGGCGTCAGCTGAGGTCAGGAGTTCGAGACCAGCCTGGCCAACATGGTGAAATCCGTCTCTACTAAAAATACAAAAAGTAGCCGGGCGTGGTGGCAGGTGCCTGTAATCCCAGCTACTCGGGATGCTGAGGCAGGAGGACTGCTTGAGCCCAGGAGGTCGAGGCTTCATGAGCCATGATGGAGCCGTGATGGAACCACTCCAGCTTGGGTGACAGAGTGAGGCCCTGTCTCTAAAAACAAAAAGAATTTTTTTTTTTTTTTTTTTTTTTTTTTTTTTGAGATGGAGTCTCGCTCTGTCGCCCGGGCTGGAGTGCAGTGGCCGGATCTCAGCTCGCTGCAAGCTCCGCCTCCCGGGTTTACGCCATTCTCCTGCCTCAGCCTCCCGAGTAGCTGGGACTACAGGCGCCCGCCACCTCGCCCGGCTAGTTTTTTGTATTTTTTAGTAGAGACGGGGTTTCATCGTGTTAGCCAGGATGGTCTCGATCTCCTGACCTCGTGATCCGCCCGTCTCGGCCTCCCAAAGTGCTGGGATTACAGGCTTGAGCCACCGCGCCCGGCCAAAAAGAATTTAAAGTATCTCTCGAAGGCACTGATCGGTCACAGGAGGAAAGGCAGTGGCGTCACAGTGAAGAGGATTCTTGCCAAAAATGCGGGACTTCAACCATGAGAAACCATCAGACAAACCCCAAGAGAGGACGTCCTACAGGAGCACGGCCAGACCCTCAGACCACCAGAACCAGAGAGATGAGGGGACAGTCACAGACGTGGAGAGGGCTAAGGAGACGGAGGACTGAGGGCCACGCAATCCTGGACCAGTCAGGAAGAAGAAAAGGGCAAGACGGAAAAGCAGACTCTGCCTGGAGGTGCTGGGCCAGAGCTAGCGTCCGCAGGTACACAGGACCACCCCACCAGGGAGCCCCGTACAGTCCTCATAACCCTCCGCAAACCTGACACTACTTCAAATAACCAGCTAGAAAGAGACAAGATGAGACCCACCCAGGCACTCATGTCCTGCTTGTGAAGCCAATGGGGTTGTGAGGACCTCGAGGGCCAAGGACTCCCAGCCCCCAGCTTGGCAGGGACAGGCAGCGCCCCACGGAGGCTCACGGAGGGGACCCCAGCTGTGTCCTGCCCTCGTGTCTGCAAGGGAGGGAGACGCGCGGAGACACCAGAGCCAGAGACCCACTGGCCAGTGCCGGCCCACACTGCATGAGCCTGGAATGGGCTTTACATTTCTAAATGGTCGACGAGAAGCACAGGAATCACATTTCATGCACGTGGAAGCTGCACGGAATTCATACTTCACGTCCATAAACAAGGCATTCCAGAGCAGTGCACCCTTCAGAGGACGCCGCCACCCGCGAGCCTGCCCCTGCCAGCACCCCAAGGCCACCCCGAGGGCAAGTGTACCTGACCACTTGGCACTGCTGGAGCAGGGGGAGGAGCTCGGCCCACCTAGCGTCACTCAGCTGCTCACACTGGATGTCCAGGCTCATGGTGGAGGTGAAGAGCCGCTGGGTGGGAGGCAGAAGGAAGAGAACGTCTTGGCCAGATCCCCTCACGGTTTCACGGGCCGGAGATTCTGCAAACGAGAAAAGTCCAAACAGGACCCACAGGGCTGATGTTTCAGGAGGAGCCGCAGCCTCTCCCGGAGCAAACACTTCCTCTTCAGCACCTTCCCCACCTTTGTCTCTGGAGCAGCCGTCGGGAGTGGGGCAGGGGGGCAGGGACCAGCACCCACCCCCAGAAAGGCCACCATGGGCAGCAGAGCTTGGGAACACAGATGCCAGCCCACCACCTGGCTGTCGCCACCCAGCCTCTGTGGGCACCTCCTCCTGCCTTATAGAGGGCGGGACAGCAGCAGTCCAGGAAGCCCATGCCTCTCATTTGCCTGGGCAAGGACAGGGTAGGGTGGGGTGGTCTGTGAGCCTGGAGGCCCCCGCAGGGGAGCAAGGGAGTCTGTGCACTTGGCCTGTGTCTCACTCTGAGGACAGGAGGACTGGGCGGGCCAGGCAGGCTGCCCACAAAGCCAGAGACCTCTCAGGATGCCAGGATCCTGGACCCGGCCAGTGTCCCAAGCAAGACACAGCAGGTGGTGCAGTCACTTGGGGTGCCAGCTTCCATGGCCCCCCTCTGGGGCTGGGGACTCTGCACCAGGCCAGGGCACATCCCCTGTCCCACGGCACACCAGCCCAGAGGCCAGACTGCCAGGCAAGCTGGGAGAGTCAGCCTGGGACGGGCACGGCTGCCACATCCTAAAACCTCCCCAGGCACAGGCCCTGAATATGGAAGGAGGTTCCCGAAGCCCTGCGAGCACAGCTCAGGTACCTGCCAGGGGCCTGGGGAAGGGAAGTGGTCAGGCAGAGACAGCCACCCCAAACCTCGGTAGGTGGATACATTCCCTGAGCACCTGCCAAGCACTGGCCTGGGGACTACAGCAGGGCAGGAACCTGGAGAGGAGGCTCGACGGCCAGGAGGCCTCCCTGGAAGCAGCAGCCCTGATGCCACACTGAGGGGAAGGGCGGGCAGGGCTGGGGAGAGGCTCTCATCCAAAAGCCCCAGGGAGCTGGCAGGATCCACTCCAGGAAATGACGCAACCCCAGCTGCCCTTCAGAAAGACGGCCAACAGGACCGCTCGAGAGGCTCCTGGTGCCCCGACACCCCCAGCTGCCTGAGTCTGTGTGCCAGGCACTCCTCTTCCCGGGGCTGGTTCAGAGGCGGCTGGTCCACTCCGGATGAGTGGAGGGAAGAGGCCCCTGGTACCAACCAGGAGGAAAGAGGCAAGGCTGGGCTCGGGTCCACACGCCTGGGCGCCAGGCCTGCAAGGACAGTGGTAAAGGGCGGTGACACCCCATGGCCCCACGCGGAGGAACTGAATCCACCCGACCCGAAGCGCGTGAGCAAAACCGACCAGGGTGTGGTCACCCAAACTCTGACTCCAGAATCTAGTCATCGGGAGGTGCTGTGGACGGCAGTGGGGGTGGAAGGAGAGCCTCAGGCAGCTGCCCAGGCTGCACATGCTCCGCACATCCAGCCCGACACTCTTGTGTCCTCCATAGCCAGATGAAAGGTGGCCCCAGGGTGTCCTCCTCCTGGGAAAGCTTGGTGGGGGCTCAGGGAGGCCAGCGCTCCTGTGACCATCTGGAACTAGGGCTGTGGGAGTGGCCCCGTCCCCACCCTCAGGCTTGGCCAGACCCTGCTGTATCCCAGGAAGGCCCTTCTGAACCTCTGTGGGTCACAGATCCCACTGAGAACCCCATGAAAATGCGGGTGTAAACGCCCTTCTCTGTGACTGGAGAAGGCCCTGGCTCCCTACACAGCCAGGGCTAAAGCACACTCAGGAACCCGCCACCACCAGCCAGCAGCCTGCTTTGGTCAAGGCAGAGGTCTGAACAGCGGCCCTAACGGTCCCTTATCCGGAAACCAGACCTTCCCAACCTTAGGGCGGGAGGTCTCCGCAGCGCCCAAGGCCTGAGCCCCCCCGCCCCGGGGAGCCACACGGGAGGGGCCGTTCGGAGGCCAATTCAGGTCCTTCGGTTCCGACGTGATGGGGACGTGGACACGGCGACCTCCGAGGGGCGCAGGGCCACCCCCTAGGGAGACACGGGCCACGCTCAGGCGACGTGCAAACGTTCCTGGTCCCTGGGACCCCCGCCCGCGTCGAGTCCCTCGAACCCGCTAGTTCTGGACACCCTGCCGCATACTAAAGGGCTGGGAGGGAACCTCAGAAAAACACGGAGGGGGTCTCCCCTGCTTCTCTGCCCCCGCCCGCGCCCGCTCACCCGGCGCCGCCGCCGCAGACCCAAGGCCCGAGCCGCTTCGCGCTCCTTCCGCCCAGGCGGGGGCGGGCGGAGCCTCCAGCGTGCCCAGCTCAGTCCCCGGGCCTCGTTCCAGTTACTACCCCAGCTTCCCCACTCCCCCCTCGGTTGGGGGTGAAGCCTGACGTCCGCATCCCGTTTCCCACCGTCTGCCCCCAACCAGCCTTTCCACTTAATCTCCCGGAACCGGCGCCTGCACCCGCCTTCCCCCAGACCATCCCTCCAGCTCTGGCAGCCCCTGCCTCCTCCCACAAACAGGCCGGATTCCAAGAATTCCCCAAACACTAAAATAAAGCAAACCTGAGATACTCCTTTTGCTGCCAGACTGGAGATGATGGAACAGATTGACGATGATTTGTTGTGGCTGACGCGAATGGGCGAGGCTGTGAGGAGAGGTTTTGGAGAGCCGTTGGGCCCTCCTGAAAACTTTGGACACACCCTCCGTTTCTATCAGTCAAGAGTTCTGGCCGGGCGCGGTGGCTCAAGCCTGTAATCCCAGCACTTTGGGAGGCCGAGACGGGTGGATCACGAGGTCAGGGGATCGAGACCATCCTGGCTAACACGGTGAAACCCTGTCTCTACTAAAAAATACCAAAAAAAAAAACTAGCTGGGCGAGGTGGCGGCCGCCTGTAGTCCCAGCTACTCGGGAGGCTGAGGCAGGAGAATGGCATGAACCCAGGAGGCGGAACTTGCAGTGAGCCGAGATCTGGCCAAAACCAATGTATATCTTTTTTTTTTTTTTTTTTTTTTTTTTGAGATGGAGTCTCGCTCTGTCGCCCAGGCTGGAGTGCAGTGGCCGGATCTCAGCTCACTGCAAGCTCTGCCTCCTGGGTTTACGCCATTCTCCTGCCTCAGCCTCCCGAGTAGCTGGGACTACAGGCGCCTGCCACCTTGCCCAGCTAGTTTTTTGTATTTTTTAGTAGAGACGGGGTTTCACCGTGTTAGCCAAGATGGTCTCGATCTCCTGACCTTGTGATCCACCCGTCTCGGCCTCCCAAAGTGCTGGGATTACAGGCTTGAGCCACCGCGCCCGGCCCACCAATGTATATCTTAAATGTATTTCATTGATGCCTCATATCTCTCTAAAACATATAAAATCAAGCTGCCCCAACCACCTTGGACACATGTTCCCAGGATCTCCACCGGCCGCAGTCACTCATTTTTGGTTCCGAATTAATCCCTTCAAATATTTTACATTTTAACTATTATTATCAACAGTACCTTTTTAAAAATAAGAATGGCCCTGAAAGATGTCAACATCCGAATCTTCAAACCTGTGGTGTTACCTTAAGTGGCAAAAGGGACTTTGCAAATATTAGGAATATTGAGATGTGAAGGCTATCCTGGGGTATCTGGGCGGCCGGCATATTATCGTGAGGGTTCTTATGCAGAGACAGCAGGTTTTGAAGATGGAAGAAGATGGCCTCTAGAAGTTGGAAAAGCAGATTCTCCTTGGGAACCTCCAGAAGCAACTACCCTTGCCAACACCTTGATTTTAACCTCCTAAAACTCACTTTGGGCTTCTGAGCTTCAGGCCTATAAAACAACCTATCTATGGCAAATTCGTTATAGCAGGGATGAGACAATAGCTCACTGCAGCCTCCTCCTCCAGAGCTCAAGCCATCCTCCTGCCTCAGCGTCCCAAGTAGCTGGGACTACAGGCGTTCACTACCACAACTGGCTAATTTTTTCCATTTTTTTGTAGAGACGGGGGTCTCACTATGTTGGCCAGGCTGGTCGCAAACTCCAGGGCTCAAGAGATCCGCCCGCCTTGGCCTCCCTAAGTGCTGGGATTACAGGCTGCACCAGCGCATCCAGCCAAATGTAACCTTTTTTTTTTTTCTGAGACGGAGTTTCACTCTTGTCACCCAGGCTGGAGTGCAGTGCCATCATCTCGGCTCACTGCAACCTCCGCCTCCTGAGTTCAAGCGATTCTCCTACCTCAACCTCCCAAGTAGCTGGGATTACAGGCGCCTGCCACCACGCCCGGCTAATTTTGTATTTTTAGTAGAGACGGGGTTTCACCACGTTGGCCAGGCTGTTCCTGAACTCCTGACCTCAGGTGATCCGCCCGCCTCGCACTCCCAAAATCCTGGGATTACAGGGGTGAGCCACTACGCCCGGCCCCAATGTAACTCTTAACGGCAATATCGTGTGCAGTCTCCCGCTCGTATTCGGTTTACTCGACCAATCGCTAAGACGACACTTGAGACTGTTTTCATATCTTTAGGCTTTCCACCATCCTAGAAAGGGGCCTTGCCTGGTTCTAAGGCCGTTCTGAAACACTACCCAACTGTCCTCGGGAAACGGTGCAGAAATCCTCTGGTTTCCCCCAAGGCGCGTGGGCACCTTGGCTGGACCTCGCCCAATAACACGATGTGCCTGGGGCCCCTTCATCATTTCCGCCAACCCTGGTTACAGCCCTGACGCTGGCCCCTAAGAGCCGTTCCAGTTCTGTCGCTCTCCTCCCCGCAGCCCCAGGCGGTAGCTTCGGGGCCCGGCGTCCGGTCTCCCGGTGGTCCCAGAGCGAGGCTCCGCAATGGAGGGCGAAGGACCCTCCCTCCCCGACCTCGCACGACAGAGACCGCCCACCTTTCCCCCAACGCCCGGCGGTGGGAGCCGTTCGAGTCTTCTCCGCCAGAGCGGTCCTTCCCGGGAGGCCGGTTCTTTGGGGGAATAAGGTCAAGGGTTACGTGATTTGGGGAAGAAAGCTCGGCTGGACCAAGATTGCTTGCGTAGCTCGCTGGAATCTAAGGCACTAGGGGGCATGACGGCCACGCGAGAACGACCCAAGTAGGCGCAGCACCGCCCCCCGCCCCGCGCAGGGACTTCCGGCGCGCCCCAAAGGGGAGCTCGCGGCGCGATGACGTCTTCAGGGAGCGCCACATCCGCCGGGCGGCGCATCTGCCCAGCGCAACCTTGCCGGCCCCAGACCCCTGCCCCGCCCGACCCCGCCCCGCCGCGGGAGCGCGCCACTCGCCCGCGCAGCAGGGGCCTCAGTAGCGCTAGGCGCGCGTCTTCCGAAAGCCCGACCGAGGCCGGCGTGGGCGAGGCCTGGCTACAGGCTGACGCACCGCTGGAGCTACTGACCTCGGGACGACTGGCGGACGGTCGCAGGCCTGGAGACCCAGAGCGAGACGGCCGACTTCCTTCTCGAGCCAGCAGAACGGGTTGAATGTGTCGACACCTCCAGCCGCCAGAGTCAGCGGCGCGGGCGTGTTGGAGCCGGCTGGTGGGCGCGGTCAGGTGCGGGGGCGGGGACTACTGGGCGGGGCTCGGCGCAGGGGCGGGGCCTGATGGGCGCAGTCTCGATGCGGGGGCGGGGCCTAGAGGGCATGGCTCGGCTCGGGGGCGGGGCTCGGCGAAGTACAGTCGGCGCAGGGGCGGGGCTCGTGGGGCGAGGCTCGATGCGGGGGCGAGAGGGTCTCGTGGGACGGGGGTCTCCCTAGTAGGCGGGGCTTGGTGCTGGGGGCGGGGCGGGGCGGGCCCGTGCTGTGGCCTCGCACTGGCAGACACTTCTCGGCGATTCCTCAGAATCCTCGGAGGAGGCGGCCAGACCCGGAGCGGCAGCGCCGTGGAGGCGGAGTCGCAGGCGCGGGTCGGGCCTGGCTGGGGCGCGGGAGAAAGCGGCGGCCTCGGGACAGGAGGGACCCGGGAGAAGCCCCCCTGGGGCGGCTCCGCATGTCGGGGTCGCGGCCTCTAGGCGACCTTGGTAGAGGGGCTCCTTTGCGCCGAGATCGCGAACCCTCGAGGGAGCCACGGCCCGGTGATCCACGCTGCCCGTCCCGGCCATTGGCTGCGCCTTTGTTTCGTGGGACCCCAGCCCGCAAGGCCTGCAGAGCTGCGGACCCAGCTCTCATCGCGGACCCAGCTGCTCCCGCGTCCATTCTGCGGCCAAGACACCCGAGCGCCGCCCGGAGCCCCGGTACTGAGGGGCGCAGGCCGAGTTCCAGACTAGCCTGGGAAACGCAAAGCGACCCCACCTCCACAAAAGTGGGTTTACTTTAAGTTTTTGACTAGTCCCCAGTTCACAAAATTGACATTTTGGCAGATGAAGATTGCAAGGAAACTGACGGTACGTCAGATTTGTTCTTTAGCAATTTGCTAAACCTCTTCTCTGACTGCCTTTATTATGTATTTATTTTCCAGACAAGGTCTTACTCCGCTGCTTAGGCTGCACTGCAGTGGCGTGATCCCAGCTCACTGCAGCCTCCACCTCTCGGACTCCAGCTATCCTCCCGCCTCAGCCTCCCAAGTAGCTGGGACCACAGGCGCCAGCACGCCTGGCTTATTGTTTTATTTTATGTAGAGAAGAGGTCTCCCTGTGTTGCCTAGGCTGGTCTTGAATTGGGCTCAAGTGATCCTCCTGCTTCAGCCTCCCATAGCGCTGGAATTACTGGCAGGAGCCACTGTATCCGGCTTGATCATCTTTAAAGAAGGTGGTTCTGGCCGGGCGCAGTGGCTCACATCTGTAATCCCAACACTTTGGGAGGCTGAGGAGGGTAGATCACCTGAGGTCAGGAGTTCAAGACCAACCTGGCCAACATGGTAAAAACCTGTCTTTACTAAAAATACAAAAATTAGCCAGGCGTGGTGGCGGGCACCTGTAATCCCAGCTATTCGGGAGGCTGAGGCGGGAGAATCGCTTGAACACGAGAGGCAGAGTTGCACTGAGGCTAGACCACACCATTGTACTCCAGCCTGGGCAACAAGATGAAACTCTGGCTGGGCACAGTGGCTCATACCTGTAATCCCAGCACTTTGGGAGGCCAAGGCAGGCAGATCACCTGAGGTCAGGAGTTTGAGACCAGCCTGGCTAGCATGACAAAACCCCATCTCTATTAAAAATACAAAAAATTAGCCAGGCATGGTGGTGCTTGCCTGTAATCCCAGCTACTTGGGAGGCTGAGGCAGGAGAATCACTTGAACCCAGGAGGCAGAGGTTGCAGTGAGCCAAGATCATGCCACTGCACTCCAGCCTGGGCAACAAGAGTGAAACTCCGTCTCAAAAAAGAAAAAAAAAAAAAGAAACTGTCTCACAAAAAAGAAGGTGGTTCACACACACACACCCCCCAGGAAAGCTCAGGGCCGGAAGGCAGCCAACCTGGCCGTGACCCTCATCCTGCACACGTGAGCTTGGTGACCAGTAGCTGATTCTTTAACCCTCTAAGCTTTGGAGTCTGGATGTGAGGTTTAAAATTCATGACAAGAAGCTGGAAGGATGCCTCCAGCCTGACTCCTGGACTGGTTCTCTTGACCACTCAAGAATGACATCTTTGCGAAAGCTGCTAAAATGTTCTGGTTTCATTTCATTCTTTTCTATGCCATGACCTCTTAGATTTGTTCCTGGCATTCTCATAAGAGTGAAGGAAATGTTTAAAGTGGCTGTTTGGGGCTTCCTTTTGTGACACCCTGTGGGGAAGGTGCCCAGGTATGTATGGGTGCTGAGTGTGTGGCCAGCACGGTGTCTGTGGCTGGGCCTCCCTCCTGGACAGTGCGGCCACAGCCCTGAAAGGTATGTCTTCATTTTTATTTATTTTTATTTATTTTATTTATTTATTTTTGAGATGGAGTCTTGCTTTGTTTCCCAGGCTGGAGTACAGTAGCGCCATCTCGGCTCACTGCAAGCTCCGCCTCCCGGGTTCACGCCATTCTCCTGCCTCAGCCTGCCGAGCAGCTGGTACTACAGGTGCCCGCCACCATGCCCGGCTAACTTTTTGTATTTTTAGTAGAGACAGGGTTTCACCGTGTTAGCCAGAATGGTCTCAATCTCCTGACCTTGTGATTCGCTCGCCTCTGCCTCCCAAAGTGCTAGGATTACAGGCGTGAGCCACCGTGCCCGGACTTCATTTTTATTTTTGAACTTACTTGGCTCACCTAGTTATGTCTTTATCTTGTTTTTTAACTTACCCAGTTCACCCAGTGTGGAATTAGGAGTATATGGACATATTCCCGCCCCCAGTTTTATATACGCCCCAGAGCTGACTACTCTTGGTCGCTTCTGCTAGGTCCTGGCCGACTCGAATGTGCCTTTCCTCCTGATCCTGTGCCACACAGGGCTGAGGATGCTACCCTCTCCTTCTTCACCTGCCCCTCCCTCACATATCCAGCCCCACCAGGCTACACGTTAGCTTAAAGAGGGAGCTTTCACATCCCCATGAAAGGGAATCCAGGGGCAGGCTGAGGCAGGAGACCCCAGTGTTCATGAGATGCCATTCTAGAGAAAGCACTGTGGTGCTGAAGGCCTCAGTCAGACCCCAGGGAGACATGCCCCAGGGTGACTTTGGGTGGAGAGTCCTGTGCCTGTTCTACTTCTATAAAAATATCCAGGCCGCCGGGCGCGGTGGCTCACGCCTGTAATCCCAGCACTTTGGGAGCCGAGGCGGGCGGATCACAAGGTCAGGAGATCGAGACCACGGTGAAACCCCATCTCTACTAAAAATACAAAAAAAAATTAGCCAGGCACGGTGGCGGGTGCCTGTAGTCCAGCTACTCAGGAGGCTGAGGCAGGAGAATGGCGTAAACCCGGGAGGCGGAGCTTGCAGTGAGCTGAGATCCGGCCACTGCACTCCAGCCTGGGGCACAGAGCGAGACTCCGTCTCAAAATAAAAAATAAAAATAAAAAAAAAAAAAAATATCTAGGCCAGGCATGGTGGCTCACGCCTATAATCCCAGCACACTGGGAGGCCGAGGCAGGCAGATCATTTAAGGTCAGGAGTTCAAGACCAGCCTGGCCAACATGGTGAAACCCCATCTCTACTAAAAATACAAAAAAATGACGGCGCTGTAGCTCACACCTGTAATCCCCGCATATTGGGAGGCTGAGGCAGGCAGATCATTTGCGGTCGGGAGTTCAAGACCAGCCTGACCAACATGAAGAAACCCCATCTCTACTAATAATACAAAATTAGCTGGGTGTGCTAGCACTTGCCTGTAATTCCAGCTACTCGGGAGACTGAGGCACGAGAATCACTTGAACCCAGGAGGCGGAGGTTCTGGTGAGCCGAGATCGCGCCATTGCACTCCAGCCTGGGCAACAAAGAGCAAAACTCCGTCTCAAAAAGTAGTAATAATAATATTAAAAAAATGAGCCGGGCATGGTGACCTGCACCTGTAATCCCAGCTACTCAGGAGGCTGAGGCAGGAGAATCACTTGAACCCAGAAGGTGGAGGCTGCATTGAGCCGAGACTGCACCACTGCACTCCAGCCTGGATGACAGAATGAGACTGTGTCTCTAAATAAATAAATAAATAATATGTTTGTCTAAAAATGCCTTTTTAATTATGAGGTATGTACAGAAAGCACACATAGTGTAAGTGTAGCACACGCTGGACTTTCACAAGTGACACGTGAAATGGGAAAACATTGGCCGGGCATGGTGGTTCATGCCTGTAATCCCAGCACTGGGAGGCCAAGGCAGGCGCTCATAAGGTCAGGAGATCGAGACCATTCTGGCTAACACGGTAAAACCCCATCTCTATTAAAATACAAACATAGTTGGGCGTGGTGGCACATGCGTGTAATCCAGCTACTAGGGAGGCTGAGGCAGGAGAATGGCATGACCCAGAGGCAGAGCTTGCAGTGAGCTGAGATCATGCCAGTGCACTCCGGCCTGGGCGACAAAGCGAGACTCCATCTCAAAAAAAGAAAAAAAAAGGCCGGGTGCGGTGGCTCACGCCT